TCAAACGGGCCATATCGGTGGATGTCTACCTGCATGATCCCACCATGACTGGCCGGAACTCTGGATACCCTCCCACGCATACCGCACATACTACCCCTGCTGACCCCCACGCTATGGACATTGATGCAACCCACACCAGTAATGGGAATACTAGGGAAGCATTCCTAGCTCGCATGCGAGGACGATGCTTCGGCTGCGGTGCCCAAGGTCATGTCAAGCAAAACTGCCCACACCGAGAAACCACCTGCCGCTACTGTGGACGTCGAGGACATCTGGAAGCAGTCTGCCAAGACAAATTCATGGGACTCGGACGAGACCGAGGCCGACGCCAGCAACCTCGACGCCAACAGATATCCGCTACGGGACCCGCGCCATTCTCCCTATTCCCAAACGAATCCGTCCAAATCGCGTCCTCGACCCCAACATCTGCCTCTGCACCCGTAGCTGCTACTCCGAGCCCCCCTAACCAGGACTTTTCCAATCAGATTGGTCAAATAAGGGAATTACTTGATCGTGCTAACGCTATGTCCTCCTCGTCCTCTGGCTTTCAACAGGGTTTTTAAAGAGGGTACCCGCTTCGGCTGCACCGAGAGTACCCCGTAATCAGTTTGTTATGTTCGCTACTTCCTCGTATGACTCGCACCCATCATGTACAATATCGTCGATCCGGGAATTAAACTCTACTTCCCCACATTTCCGAATTCATGCGAGACTAAGAGGAAGGAATCACAGTATAACAACTGCAGCCATGGTAGACTGTGGAGCTACCGCCCTGTTTTTAAACCAAGACTTTGTCACCCGGAACCATGTAAGATGTGCACCCCTCCATAAACCAATCGACGTTTTTAATATCGATGGAACACCTAACCGAGCTGGACGGATAACCCATTTTGCACGTCTAGCACTCACAGTGGATAATCAAGAGCGATGGATGGACTTTCTGATCACCAACCTAGGAGGTGAAGACATCATCCTTGGACTCCCCTGGCTACGGAAGGTAAATCCGGAGATTGATTGGGAGAAAGGACGACTTTCAGTAAAGCCTCCTCGAGTAACGATAGAAGAAGTCCCAGACGAGGAGATCTTGTACTCTCATCTAGCCGCCACTCACACAGAAACCCCGATCCTCGAACTCCCGGAACTGGAACCTCCCGCAGAAAACCCCCACATTGAGGTGCCACTAGAAGCAACCCTTGAACCGAGTGAATCAGCAGCGGTGGAAGAACCACCAATACACCGAATTCGAGCCAATCATAAAACTCGCCGGGCATGGGTAAAAGCAGGAATTCTAGAGGAACAGACGGAGGAAGTCTGGTGCGCCGCAGGATTCACTTACTCCCAGCAACTAGCAGAGGAAGCCAACCGAGACAAACCTGTTAAAACCTTCGAAGAAATGGTCCCTGAGCAGTATCGTGATTTCAAGAAGGTTTTCTCAGAATCCGCCTCCGAACGATTACCTGCCCACCAACCTTGGGACCATGCGATTGATCTCGTACCTGGAGCACCGGCAACCATGCGTACCAAGATTTATCCCATGTCCCTAAACGAGCAGGAGGAGTTGGATCGTTTCCTAGAAGAAAACCTACGGAAAGGCTATATCGTCCCCTCAAAATCACCAATCTCATCACCAGTCTTCTTCGTAAAGAAGAAGGATGGAAAACTCCGTTTCGTACAAGACTACCGGAAACTGAACGAGTACACTGTGAAGAACCGATACCCTCTCCCATTAGTTGCTGACATCATTAGTCGACTTCAGGGAGCCAGATACTTCACGAAGTTTGATGTCCGCTGGGGTTACAATAACATACGGATTAAGAAGGGGCATGAATGGAAAGGCGCGTTCGCAACAACCCGAGGCTTGTTCGAGCCTAAGGTCATGTTCTTTGGTCTCACAAATTCCCCTGCCACGTTCCAAGCACTTATGAATGCTATATTTGCTGATCTCATTGCAGCCGGCAAGGTGGCAGTCTACCTAGATGACATCCTTATCTTCAGTAACGATCTCGAGGAACACCGACGAATGGTACGGGAAGTATTAACCCGGTTAGAAAAGCACGACCTCTACCTACGACCAGAAAAATGCGAATTTGAACAACAACAGATTGAATACCTCGGACTCATCATCTCAGAAGGGGAGGTGAGAATGGATCCGGTAAAAGTAGCGGCTGTTCGCGACTGGCCAGTCCCTACTAATCTTCGGGAACTACGAGGGTTCTTGGGATTTGCAAACTTCTACCGACGCTTTATCCGGAATTTTGCCAAAATAGCACGACCTCTGAACGACCTGACGAAGAAAGACACCAGCTTTACCTGGACCGACACTCGACAGAAAGCATTTGATACCCTTCGAGAAGCCTTCATCTCCGCACCGATCCTTGCTCTATGGACACCAGACAGGCCTACTCGAATCGAGGTAGACGCATCAGGCTTTGCCACGGGAGGCGCCCTTATGCAGAAGCAAGACGATGGCCAATGGCATCCGGTAGCCTTCAGATCGGCATCCATGCAGCCAGCGGAACGGAACTACGAAATCTACGATCGAGAAATGCTTGCTATCATTGAAGCACTGAAGGATTGGAGGAACTTTCTAGAAGGACTCCCTCAACCATTCGACATCATTACGGACCATTCGAACCTCGAATTCTGGCGCACTGCACAAGACCTCACCCGCCGACAAGCCCGATGGGCCCTCTATCTGTCACGGTTTGACTTTCATATGATCCACCGCCCTGGTAGAGTAAACACCCAAGCTGATGCTCTCTCCCGCATGGCAGTTCATCATGTATCGGACAGCGATGATAACCGACAACAGACAGTCCTTAAACCTGGCCACTTCGTAAAAATTGCAGCTTCGATCCTACAGAACCCCTTAGAGGATCGTATCCGGAAAGCCTCAGAACGGGAGGCACAGGTATTGGAGGGTCTCAAAACAGTCAAAGAGCACGGACTACAGCGCTTGGCCAATGGGATAGCCGAATGGGAAGAAGACAATGGGTTGGTCTACTACCGAGGTCGAGTATACGTACCAGCAAACGACGACCTACGCACTGAGGTACTCCGTCAATGCCACGACCATCCAACTGCAGGACACCCCGGACTACACGGGACACTCGACTTGGTCAGTACCCATTTCTGGTGGCCTACGTTGCGCTCTTTTGTGGAAAAATACGTTGAGGGATGCGAGGTTTGTGCCCGTAAGAAGATCCAGCGACACCCACGGGCCGTAACTCAACCATTAGATGTACCATCCGGTCTATGGGAAGAGGTAGGGGTTGACCTGATAACACAGCTACCTAACTCCCAAGGCTACGATGCTGTCTTGGTTTGCACAGACCTGTATGGAAAACAAATTCATGCCATTCCTTGCACCAGCTCCATCACAGCCGAAGGCGTTGCCGATATTTACTACCGAGAGATCTTCCGTCTCCATGGTCTTCCTCTTCACTTTAAATCCGACCGCGGACCCCAATTTGCAGCTAAACTCATGCGATCCCTTCTCGCTAGGCTAGGAATTAAATCAGATCTAACCTCCGGATACCGTCCTCAGTCTAATGGCCAAACCGAACGAGCAAATCAGGAAGTAGAGAAATACATCCGCCTCTATGTAGGACGACGACAAGACGACTGGGCAGAGCACCTTCCCATGGCGGAGTTTGTGATTAACTCACGAACTCATTCTGCGCTAGGCATGTCCCCGTTCGAGCTAACCTACGGCTATCTTCCCCTGTTCAATATCCCAGTGGGCCAACGCAGCGGTATTCCAGCTGTGGATGACCGTATACGGATTCTCCGAGAAGCGCGACAAGATGCCGGAGCTGCCTTACACCTAGGAAAGAAACAACAGAAAGAGGGATACGAACGCGGAAAGCGGAAAGCTCATCAATTTAAAGTTGGAGACCTAGTCTGGCTCAGTGCAGAGGACATTAACCTTCAACTTTCCAGTGAAAAGTTAGGAGATCGACAGCTTGGCCCTTATCGCATTCTGGAGAAAATTGGCCCTTTAGACTACCGCCTTGACCTTCCCCTATCCCTAGATCGCCTCCATCCCGTCTTCCATGTCGATAAACTATACCCCTGGAAAGGTAACTCCATCAATGGCGAAATACCAACACCACCAGAGCCGGTATACTTAGAGGATGAAGACGAACCGGAATACGAAGTAGAGGAGATCTTAGACAGCCGGGTTCGATGGAAGAAGTTGGAATATTTGGTTAAGTGGAAAGGTTACGACGCAGGGCACAACTCTTGGGAACCCGCAGCCAACCTCAGCCGAGCACCAAAAATTGTTCGGGCCTTTCATAAAAAACACCCAACAGCGGCAAAGCCTTGACCATCGAGGGCAATGGTCATAAGGAGGGGGGTAATGTCATAAAGTACGCAGCCCCTATCATTTTCCTTTTCTCACCGTCTCGACGCCTTTACTTGTACGATACATCATCCCATCACTGTCAAACCCCCATCGATTACTGATCCATCGATTACTGATCCACCTGACCCATCTTCTCCTTCTATTGGCTTCCGCCACCTTCCTTGTTCCTAAACTGTACAGTATTACATCGTTGTTTCTTGCAGACCGGATTATGTATATATAACCAACCCTCCACAGCCTGGTCCCTTATCTTGACCTCTCTGTCATTATCTGGGACCAGGTATGTGCTTACTTATTATTACCTATGACTACGATACTCAATATATCTCTGTCATTATCTGGGACCAGTTTGCCTCCGCTCTGCTTAGTCGCTCCGCCTCACCGCCTTGCTTAGTCGCTCCGCCTCATCGCCTTGCTTAGTCACTCCGCTTCCCTGCTCCGCTAGTCACTCCGCCTCTGCCGCTTCGTGACAGCTTCCGAGGTAATGCTGCGCCGTATGGCCACCTTTGCTCATTGATTGCACTCTGCTGACCCCGCCAACCTCCTCCACTATCACAACACGTACGTGGGAGGTCTCATTGAGTCGGTCATTACCCTCCTATCACGTAGCCTCCTCCATCCTCCGGAGCAGATGAGGACTGTTGTCGAACTGGCTCTGGATTATCTGTCTCAAGGTCGACTCACCCATGGCGAGCTGCACCTCCAATCGACCAGTAGCTTGTTGTATTACTACTCCAATGCTGCAGATCGTGTTGAGGGTTTGTATCAGGACATGTTTACCCACTCCCGTTTTTCCTCCGACAAGGCGTTCCTTACTGCTGCGCAACACGCAGGTTACATCGATGCTCGTCCTGGTTCCCTAGAGCCGCCCTTACATCGTCGACTCTTTTCTTTTGATCATCCCATACCCCTTCCTGGAAGTCCCACTTCTGATCATATCCCCGCTGTTCCCATGATGGACACCGTAATGTTGATGTGGGAGGATATGATTGGGGCCTATGTGAGGGAGGTTCTAGGTTATCCTGTCTCCCCGGGTCGCATCTTGCCCCCGGTAGAAGTTCCCAGTTCCAACGATCCCCTGCCGGCAACTACTTCCTTGGTCATGGATGGCCCTCCTCCCGTGCTAGGTGCGAGTGACTCCGTGTCGCGGAGCACCCCCTTGTTCCTACCGGGATCCCTGTCTCCCACCTCCCCTCGTTCCCCTTCCCCCATCCCTTCCTCCCCCCGTGTTCCTGACGTCGTTCGCGAGGTTGTCGATTTGACTATGGATGACGCCGAGGACTTGTACGAGTCGCAGGAGGAGTTTCTTGCTCGGACGGGTGGGACGGTGACCATTAAACAGGAAATTACCGAGTCCGATGTATTGTAGTCGTTTTTTGTTGTATCTACGTACCCCGAATCATATCTTTGTTGATTTTGTCGCCTCCGTTAAGTCTGAACTCCCCTTGCGCCTTCTTTTCCCAAATGGAGGTAGCTCAAAAGGGTTTGTCGATGCAGGGTCCCAACGAAGGGTTTGTCGATGCAGGGTCCCAACGATCCGGTTCGGTTGAGAACTGTTGCAGGAGGCACATTCTGGTTTGGTTCACCAGTCGCTTCTTCCCTTTCTGTTCTATAAAGGGTGTCGGGTAGGTCCTCTTTCCTTCCACCATGCCTCCCACTCCTCGTCCCACCTTGGTACCTCGTACTTCCAATGCTCACCCTTACCGTGCTGAAAACCCACGTCTTGTTGCTCGGATTCGTTTGCTGGAGTCTCAGCTTGCTGACTCGCGGCGGGAGAACTCCTCCCTTACCTCCGCTCTTCGGGATACCTCCCGTGCTCTCGAATCTCGACAACGAGAAGTGGAGCAGCTACGGCTTTCTCGTCGTGAAGTCTTAGAGCGTGGAATGGAAGACAGCCGAGTTTTGGATCAGTTTCCTGCTTTAGATGAGGCCCTATCGGGGGCTCCTGGTCAAGTGAGTACTTCATTTTCCCCTCGTTTCCCTCCCCTGTTTGACCCGTCCTCTCAGAGTATCTCGGAACGCTTCCGGAAGGTGCAGGAAGACCTTCACAATGCCACTAGGGAGCGGAGAGTCGCTGTGGAGAAGCTAATCACCTCCACTCGTAAGAACTCGCAGTTGAGGACCACCCTACTGCACCAACAAGGTCTGGTGGATGAATCAAATGCTTTGGCAACACGTCAACGTCGTCGCGTGGAGGAGTTGCAGGAGGAGGTCCATCGGGTTCGCGGTCGTGCCGTCTTCGTCGAGCAAATGCTCAAGGAGTACCCTGATGAGGGTTACTACGAGGTCGTTCTGCCCCCTCTCTCGCAACTTGAAGGGGACCTTAATAAGGCTCATGAGGACCTCCGCCGTGTCGCTACCTTCGCTCATCGCCTTTATCGTTGTGATCCTGCCACCGTCCTTCATCATCACCATCGTTACCTTGGGGCGATTATTGAGGCCGTGGTTGCTTTCCTTCGTCGTGGTCTCGATTCTGGTGATCTCGACGTTACCGTTCACAACTTCCGGTTGGCATTGGATTATGTACAGGCAGCTCGAGGTGTCCATGGAGACATGTATATGCGATCCATAAGCAGTATCCAGTGGTTTTTTAACAACGCTGTCGACGAGGATGAGGGTCTTTATCGTATGATCTTGGAACACTCTCGATTCGACAGTGATAGTCCCTTCTTGACGGCTGCTCACCATGCCGGTTTTGTTCCTCCTCCTGATGATTCTGTGGAGCCTCCTCTTCATCGGCGGATGTTAGCGCTGTCTACCGCTCTTCCTCATAGCGACGGTGTTGGGAGGTGGGAAGACATCGTTCCTGCTCTCCCCAGTATCGACCAGCTGACTGCTGATTGGGAGCAAATGATGTTGCAATACATTCATCACATCACTGATACTCCTTTGTCTGGTATAGCTACCCAAGGTCCCATGTCGTCGGTGGAGCCTGCTAATGAGTCGTTGCCTGAAGTACTTGTCCGGCAGTCTCCTGAAACTCCGGCTGCCCTGGAATCTACCTCCTCTGTCGGTCCCCACCCCCAGGTCCCTCTATTTCTGCCCGAGCAAGGGTCGTTAACCTCCCCTTCCCCCACTCTGCCCCCTCTTTTCGGGTCCATTGCCAATCTAGTCATCGACCTTACGGGTGATGACGACGAGTTGTATGAGACGGAGGAGGTTGGTGCTGGTCGCTTTTCTGTGACGAGGGAAGTTATCGACTTGGCGGCCAGTCAGGATGTCGTTAAGGACGAGTCATTGTAGTGTTCCTTTCTTGCATAGTCTTGTTGTCGTCCTGTCCTCTTCTTTTTGTACCTTTGTTTTATGCGAAAAATCCCTTTTATAAATATATGAAAATCAATAAGACTGAAATCATGGTGCCTTCAGGTTGCTTGAACCCTCCGATGCACATAGTCGTTAGTTCGTCGTGAATGTCATGCGGATGTCGTTCTCATCGTTCCTTCGTGTCGTCGTCAGCTCCGGTCCTACCTCCTATCCTCCCTTTCATCCTCCTCGTCTTCCTGTGCATCCTTTATGAGGCGAGCCCAATGTCTTTGCGATGGCTGTCGCTTCCTTGGATGTTTCTCGTGCCAGCTCCGCAGGAGCTCCAGGGATCCTGCCATACCTTCCCATCCTACCCAAGAGTTGAATTCTTCGCTATAACCCTCCCATTTTACCAGATATTCCACTTCCTCCGGTCGTCCCTTCTTGGGTTTGGAGTCGAGGATATCCTCAACAAAATGCTCCATCTCTCCTTTTATGAAGATTGGGGGAGGTGGGGAGGTCTGGCGTTTGAATTTGTCGTGGAAGTGGGGTTTCAGTCTGTCTACATGGAACACGTTATGAATTTTGTGGAGGTCCCCAGGGAGGTCCAATCGGTACGCATGGCTCCCTATTTTTGCCAAGATTGAGTAGGGACCCGTCCACTTGTGGTCTAACTTCTTCATAGGTCTTCTCGTCCTGACGTTTTCCATATTCAACCAGACGTGATCACCCTCCTTCCAGTCTGGGGCCTCCTGGCGTTTTTGATTCGCGTACTGAGCATAGACCTCGTTGGCTACTTGAATTCGCTCCTGTAGGTAAGTGTGTAACTCCTTGAGGTTGGATGCGTATTCGTTGACCTCCGCTCCTTGCACCAGCTCCAATGTAATGGAAAGCTTTGGGTGATACCCTTTATTGGCAAAGAACGGTGAGACGCCTGTCGTTGTATTTGGGGTGTTGTTGTATACGAATTCCGCCATTGGTAGGAGAAGGTCCCAGTCATCCTGGTCATAAGAGCAGTAGATCCGAAGGTAAGCCTCCACGGCTTGGTTTACTCGTTCCGTTTGTCCGTCTGTCTGGGGATGGTACGCCGTAGATAGACGGGATTCGATCCCTAGTGCTCTACAAAGCTCCTTCCAAAATTGGGACACGAACAGGGAGCCTCGATCAGAAACTATATCGGCGGGCATCCCGTGCTTCGAGAAGACATGAGTTATGAAGAGATTAGCGAAGTCCTCCGCATTATCCGTAGTATGGCAAGGGACATATATGGCCTGTTTGGTCAGTCGACACACTACTACCAGGATAGCATCGTACTTCTCTGGACCTGCTGTGACTGGGAGCTGGGTGATGTGGTCAAGTGAAATTGAAGACCAAGGTCGTTGACCGATTGGCAGTGGGCGGAGGTTCCCGTATGGTTTGGATCGACTGGCTTTTGCTCTCAGACATGAGTGGCAGCTCCGCACATAGTAGTTTACGTCCTTGGACAACCCTTTCCAGAAGAACAGTTGGCTTACGAGCTTCCTGGTGCGTTTCTCCCCCGGGTGTCCTCTCAACTTATGGTCGTGGTACGACTGTAGGACCTCTCTTCGTAGCGTTCCAACGTCTGGGACATATATACGACCTCCCCTCTTTATCAGACCATCCTCCCACACGAGAGATTCCTCCTCGTTCCGTGCAATCCGCTTCAATGCTTCAATCATACCCGTATCTTTTGGAGCTTCCCTCACTCGATTTACTAAGAGGTCTTCGTTCATGAGGATGGTCGCGTTTAGACGTTCTGGAGGTATGAGTACCCTTTCCCTCCCTGCTAAGGCCTGGTCCCTTGAAGCTCCCTTCTTTGGGTACACGTCTGATCTACGGGTGAGAGCGTCCGGCTTGGCTCCCAACCTCCCTGGGCGATAGTTGATGACAAAATCGTATCCGGAAAGGAGCTCTGCCCACCGGGCTTGTCGTGCTGTTAACTGCTTCGTAGTGGTGAAGTACTGGAGATTGTTATGATCTGAGTATACTTGGATCTGGTGTCGGGATCCTTCGCAGTACGCCCTCCATTGTTTGAAGCAGTCCACAATAGCTAGGAGCTCCTTATCATATATGTCGTAGTTTAGTTCAGCGGAGATCATCGATCGTGCATGGAAGGCGATAGGGTGTATCTCCCCCGTTTCAGGATCCAGCTGTGACAGAATCCCTGCTATTGCCAAGTCGGAGGCATCGCATTCGAGGATTACGGGTAGGTCTGGATTGTGTCATAAAGTACGCAGCCCCTATCATTACGCAGCCCCTATCATTTTCCCTTTCTCACCGTCTCGACGCCTTTACTTGTACAATACATCATCCCATCGCTGTCAATCTCCATCGATTACTGATCTATCTATCACTGATCCACCTGACCCACCTTCTCTTTCTATCGGCTTCCGCCTCCTTCCTTGCCCCTGAACTGTACAGTATTACATCGTTGTTTCTCGCAGACTAGATTATGTATATATAGCCAACCCTCCACAGCCTGGTCCCTTATCTTGACCTCTCTGTCATTATCTGGGACCAGGTATGTGCTTACTTATTATTACCTATGACTACGATACTCAATATATCTCTGTCATTATCTGGGACCAGTTTGCCTCCGCTCCGCTTAGTCGCTCCGCCTCACTCACCTGCTTAGTCGCTCCGCCTCACTGCCTGGCTTAGTCACCCCGCTTCCTGCTCCGCTAGTTACTCCGCCTCTGCCGCTCCGTGACATTAGGTCAAGATCCATTACTGCACTGACAGCCTACCGATAAGGTTGTCCTTGCAGGATCCGTAGACACCACGTCTTCCCCAGTCCCGCCCGATTCTGAAACACCTGCTGCCAGTATAGACTGCTCCACACTCCCGCACGCACTTGACCCCAGAGACCAAGCTCACGCCCACAACAACAACGATACTTGGCGTGATTGCCAGTCTCAACCTTGCCCCAACGCCCTTTCGAACTCGATCCGAGAGCCACTCACTGTGAGCAATATAACCTTCCTGCCAATTCCCCAACCCCGATTGCCTACTCCCATCATGTCGACTCCTGTCCCGCCTGCCCCAAATACCTCTGCTGAGGATCTCATGGCTCAGCTCATCAGACAAGTAGCCAGCCTTGCTACA